CCTCTGCTCACGCCCCGAGTAACCGGCCTCTCGTTCTCACGGGCTCCCGCCCCTTCGGGTTTTTCGGTGCTGCCCGGCGCTCGGCTCCGGGGGACCCTCACTCAGCCACTCGTGGCTGTTCTTGTCCTCCGTGGGCTGAGCTCAGTGGAGGTCACAGAATCAAAATGCAAGATCTCCCTGAGCACAGATTTCTCTCACGGTGAGCAGGGATGCCTGGAGTTTTTGCCTCCTATCGCACCGCACCTTTACCTGGGCCCACACACCTGCTCTTTTTCTCCATCTTATCTTCTGGGTTTTTTCTGCTGTTCCCTTGGTTTCTTCCTGACACGTGGGTTGGTAGGCAGCTGCATTTTGGGTTCATGTTTTTATCCTTTTTTATTCTTATTAATTTGCAAAGAATGCCAAGGGAAATTTTGCAGCTACAGAAAGACCGATTCCTGCCCTGTGATGAGCTTGGAGAACAGCAGGGAGATGGTTGTGTGGAAGGGAAGTAACAGAGGTATGTAGACATGTTCCGTGTTTTGGTTTATTTGCTGCCAGCATCTCAGGAGGAGTGGGCTTATAACAGAGCCTGGAAAGCTGGGCTGTTGTGGATGAATCGTGGGAGGTCAGGTCACGGTGAGTGGATGTGATGGAGAAACGTGATTTAAAGGTACATGGTGGAGGAATGGTTCTGGAGGGCAGAAGTATGGACAACATGGTGCTTATCAGAAGAGGGTAGGCTGGGGGAGTGCACTCAGGTTGAGCCTTGAAGGAGGTGAGATATTTGGATGTGCTGGAAGAGCAGCTGTAGAACAAGTGGAAGGTTGCCAGGGAGTGAGTGGTATGGTCAGGTTTGGTGGGGAAGGTTTTGGCCATCTACAGCTTCCTTGGGTTGCAAAGGAGCATTGTTTGGGATGCAGGGAAGAGAACTTTGCAACACGTGGGCAGGACGTACCAAAAAGGCCCACATGGCAGGTTTTTCTGTGAAAATGTTCACAGGTTGGCCTTGAAGCTGGTAGCATAGAAGGAGCTGGGTGTCATTTGCATTTGAGTTATGGGGAAAGGGAGGGATAATAGTGGAAATGGGGAGTATGTTACTGCTTTCAGAACTGAAAGAGAGAGGGCAAAGTGAGGCTAAACCAAGGCAACCCTGCACTTCAGCTAAGAATAAACTGACAATCTTTGGGAAGAGGTCTCAGACAGCCACTTGAGCACTGGGATTGAATAGAGGTAGAAAGGTTGATGACAGAGGGAGAAATCTGAGAATCACAAGCACAGCTACCTAAAATCCTTAACAATTGCCAGACAGAGGGCACGAAGGGACAAGAGTGCAGGTCTGTGAACCTAAGCCTGGAGTTAAGAAAGGAAAAGAGGATGATGGCTTGTTGACAGAAATAATATAGGTGACAATTATTTTGTGATCATAGCAAGTCACTACTTTTGCTAGTAACAGGTCTGGGTATCAGTGGGAAAGCACCGTAGGGTAGGGTAGGTTCTGAGAGTTGTGGAGGCTGTGGAAGGTATGTGACCCAGGAAAGAGGCTGAAGGGCCTGTGAATCCCAGGCCAATGGCCCTTATGGCCACATCCACAACTGTGGAGGCTCTTCCCCGGTGCATTAGCTCCTCTCTTCCGTGTTACCTTACCCCACATCAGTGATTCTTTAGGAATTTCAGTATTGAGATTTCAGGTGACTGTGGGGATATCTTGCAGCTTCTGTTTTTTCAGTTTCCCTTCTAGTCTGGGCATCTGCAGGAGGGTGGTACAGGACCTTAGAAGTAATCTGAAAGTATGTGTTAAAAACCAGAAAGATTATTTAAAGACAGTTTTCGAGGATTCAGGTGGGGAGGCCACACTGAAGTGAACTGCAAGGTTTATTTAAAGATACTAAGGCTGTAATAGATGAAGGACTGTTGGTAGACACAGAAGAGTTGAATATTTTAAAAGATGTGTGAGAGGGCCCCAAATCAGAGACTGCAAGGCAGAGCTAGGAGATCTGCAGCAAGATGGCTGCTGAAATGGGCAATTCTCTCAGAAATATAAATTGGGAAGTGAAGTTTATACATTCTTTTTATGTGGAAACGTCATGTTTTAAGTTTATATTGCAGTTTGAGAGGGCAAGTCTTAGAAAATAGTGTCTGTATTAAATAAGGATCATGACACAAAATAACTGCATGTTAGGACACAAAGACTTTGCTTAGCTCTATAGATTATAGCATGATTTATGCTTGTTTAATTACTGATAGTTGATACGACTAGATAAGTAGTTGCTGATTTACACATAAATGTTTTAAGTCAGTGCAACTGGTCCTGTGTGTCAGCAAAGTTTTGCTTTAAGCATGTCATATGGTGATATAAAATTGTTTTAATTTTTAAAAGTAATTGCAATGTTTGGACTATGACAAACAAAAACAAACAAAAACCCAACAAAACCAAAGCAACCAACCAACAAAAAAACCCCAACAACAAACAAAAAATAATTTTCAATTATCTATCTTGCAGGAAAAAAAATTTCCACAGAAGTCTGATTAATCCCAAACTGTATAGTACCATTTCTACCCACATAGCCCCACTGCAAAATAACATTATTATAGCTATTTTTTATTCTGGGTTATATTTGACATATTTGAATTTGCTGCTGTCTGCAGAATAACTGTGTATGCAGACCTGATATCTCAAACCTGCATCTTCAGGTGCTGGGGTTCTCCCATCACTCCACAAAGACTTCCAAGGCTATAATTAGGTTCCCCTGTGCACATGAGATTAATGTATGAGTGAATCTGCCACAGTCAGATGTACCCACATTCAGTCTTTTCATTTTCAGAACAGATGTGTGTCTCCTTCATGCCTTTAGACTTGTCTTAAATGACACAATAATTTGCAGAAGCAGGATCATGCTTTTGGTTGCCATTATAATGCCATTGACTTCAGTGGAGTTGAAGAACAAATGAAGTGGATGAATGAGTGAAAGTTTATGTCCCTTGTCAATCAACTAAAATCCAGCCCTCTCTATGCATCCTGTTTGGTGTCTTCTGTACACTGGAAGGAGAAGTTAGGTGGGAAGGACATGATGTGGATGTCCAGGAATTATCTCGTTTTTCTGTGATAATTTCTTGTAATTTTAAGTTGAATTAGTAACCTTGCTAAGTTTTACTTTTTAAGTAGAAGTAAACCAACTAAGTAGTGCTGGGAGACATGCCTCTGAAGGAGGCATGGAGTTGGTAGGTTGTTCAAATAGTTTACTGTCTCTTTAAAAAAGGATTCTGGTACAGCAATAGCAGGTACTGTTATCAGAAATTCTTACCATGCCTTGAAAGACATTGGCCTAGAGAATTACATTTTGTTTCCTGAGCTGATTCTCACAAGTGGTAAGAGATTCTGATGATCATCTACCTGGAGCTGAGGCTGACCAAAACCTGGCACAAGTCAGGAAAATGAGCTGTAGAGTTTAGAAAGCTCTTTCTAAAGGTCTTCCTTATGGGAGCCTTCTGAGAGGCCACAGCTACTATCCAGGAGATTATATGTGTACTTTGAGCAGTCCCATTGAAGTCATTGGATCTGCTTCTAACCTTAGCTGTTCTTCTAAATCAACATTTTTAACAGTGATGGTGGAAGAACAGCTTTAAGCCATAGATCTATTTTAGTTTTTGAACTACTGTGTAACAGACAAAAAAGAGAATGAGTCCCCTTACTAATTTTATCTCTTGTGTTAGGTCACCCCACTGTCTCCTGTGTTCTGATGACACAGGAAGAGTAAGTCCTTCTTTCACCTCTGTATCTGGTGTGCTGGGATCACCTTTGTTGCTCTATGCTTCAGCATCCCTG